AATTAAATAAAAAAAAAGAAAAAAAAAACAAACAAAAAAACTCCCCAAACTGAGAACTCCACCCTTACTCTGAGGAACAATGAATCAGACATTCCTCAATGAGTAGGATAACATGACATACTATTTAAGTGTGATACTTGTTTTTTAATGGCATTTTAATCTTAGATTTACATTCTACTACCATGCCTCCTGAATAATCTTTAGTATTATTTATACCATGGGCAGCCATTTAACTTTAATATGACTATTTTCTACTTCATGGCACTGCCTCAGAATTGTCCCCTATAGAGTCATGAATTACTTGTTATGTTTCTTCTGATTCATTGACAACTTGAGAAACCAGTAATTGAAGGTTTACTTGCAGTTACTGAAACTGACCTTAAACAAGTGTAACTAAACCATTTCTTTTCATTTCATTTTGCTAGATCTAGTGTTGTGATGGAGCCAGCTCTACTGGTCCTGCTTGTTAAATATTTGGGAATTTTGTGAGCCAGTTGTTAAATACAGCCATTATTAAAAATTAAATTAGAAAGATTTATATTAAAATGAATTGTGTTAAAAAACAAAGGTAATAAATTCTCAATATATCATTTATTTTACTTCATTTTGCTGTTATTCACCTCTTGAAATTATTTATATCTACTATATCTATATAAGTGGAAATACTATGTAATGATGTGCCACTCTACACCGTACTGCCATACTGTGTGTTGGTGGTGTACTTGATCCTAATTCTGCATTCAGTAATGTCAGATTAGTAACTTGAAATTGGCCACGGTAGGAGTATTTACATTATATATCTATAGATATAGATATATATATATCTATATCTATCTATCTATATATATATATATATATATATCTGATGTAAACTAGACCTTATCTATTAGAAAGCCAGTTTTAGGATCTTTTTATAGAATACTGCTGTGTAGGCTAATGATTCTAAAATTATTCTTATCCATTTACTTCTCTTTTTGCCTAACCCTTGTCTCTGTGAAGTTGAGGAAGCAACTGATATGTTATCTGAACTTGGTATAAATTCTCATATCCTTGGTACTGGGAAGATAGGGTTGAAAAATATTGACAAAGTCTCTGTACTCTTGAAGCTTATGAGTGTTTAAATATAGTACACAAATAAGAAAAATATTTGATTTGATAAGTGCTATACAGAGAATTAAAATAGAGAGATGTGAGAGAGTCAACCAGAAAGGTTTCCGGGAAAGGCATTGTCTAATTAAAGCTGCCATCTGAGTGACGAGATGGAGTCAACCATGTTAAAAATTAGAGGAAAGAGCTTTCCAAGCAGAGAGAAGAGTAAGTGCAGTTTGGAATGAACATGCCATGCTAGTGAAATAACTCCTATGTCTAAGGTAGAGTGGGTGTGGGAAGTTGTACAAGAGGAAGGAAGGATTACACCATGTCAGGCTGTGTACAAGTCAAGAGGAGAAATTGGATTTTATTTTAACACCATGCAAAGATATTGGAGAGTTAAGAAGATGGGTGGCATATTAGTTTTCTATTGCTTCCATAAAAATTACAAAAAACTTAATAGCTTAAAAAAACAGGAATGTATTATCTTATAGTTCAGTAAGTCAGAAGTCCAATGTGGTTCTCAATGGGCTAAAATCAAGGTGTCAGCAGAGTTGCATTCCTTTCTAGGGGAGGATCCTCACTGGGTCACTTGGGTTATTGGCAGATTCAGTTCCTTGTGGTTGGAGCAATGAGATCTCCATTATCTGGCTGGCTGTTGGCTAAGGGCCGTTTCCAACTTCTAGAGGCTGATACTTTCCTTAGCTCATGGCCCTCTTCTTCTCTTTTCAAAGTCAGCAATGGTGGTTTGAGGCCCTCTTACACTTTGAATCTATCCTCCTCTCTCCATCCTATCTTTCTAACCCAACTTGATAAGTTTCTACATGTTCAGATTCAAATAATTAGATTGAGCACATCCAGATAATTCAGGATAATCTCCCCTTCTCAAGGTCCACAGCCTTAATCATATCTTCAAAGTCCCTTTTGCCATGTAAGAGAAGGTAGTCACAGATTCTAGGGGATTAGGGTGTGGACATCTCTGGGAAGCAATTACTCTGCCAACAGTAGATGACATCATCTCTAGGAAGGTAACAAGAAATAGATTCAAGTAGAAGCTGTCAAGATTCCTTGCCTTGCCTGTCGACCTACAATCACCACTTCCTTTGGTCTGCTGAAGGACTAGCACAGCCAGCGCACTCAGTGGAATTGTCAATCAGGAAAAAGGACTGTCTTCATTGTCTTTAGAAGGACAGTGCCCAAGTTTTAGTACATACCAGTCTCAAGATGAATCATTTCAGTTAATCATCACTCATACTCTGCCAAATTTGTAAAAGAGCTTTCATTATTTACCCATAACTTGACTATACATAACATTTAATATAAAGTATACTCAGTTAAACCTGTTTAGTTGTTTTGAGCCAGCAATTTAGAAATTAGTAAGTCTTTTCAATGCTGTTTAAACTTGTCTGACAAATGTGATGCTTATTATATTATTTATAACTTATCGAGGGTCAACCAAAGGTATGCTAGGCCCTGTGTTAAACACTTTTATATATATCAGACCTTTTCATCTTCACAACAACCCTATGAGTTAGGCACCGTAATTATTCTAATATTTTACAGATCATGAAGCTGAAGCATATAGGTTAATTAATTTGCCCAAGTCATGCCGATAAGAAAGTAAGACTTTGAAAGCTTGAGAGATTCCCAAGTTCTTACAGGTAGTCACTAATTGAACTGGGAATCAATTAGAGCAAATGGACTACAGAGCCCATACTCTTAACAGCTGTAGCCTTCTATCTCAATTTGTTTATACATTATTAAGGAAGATCAAGGCTACGGTATGTGAAGCCTCAACTGGTCAATTATTCAGTGGCATGATACAGCTGTGAAACTTACTGACAAATGTTACAAAAAACAGTTGGAATAATCTTGCTTGTTAAGAAAAAATATTCTCTACCTCTTTCTGTGTCTTTTTTTATTCTTCCTTAAAAATTGTTTATTGCAGTGAATTAATGCACATATGAACTAACTTGTTCTTTGATTTATTCTAAATGTCTTATTTTACAGAAATCTTGCTTGACCCTGGACAATTACGTGAAGACAACACTGAATCCTTACATAGTCAATGTCACTCTAGCAGCCAAAATGTGCAGCCAAGTGCTTTGCCAGGAGCAAGGTGTATGTACAAGGAAAAACTGGAATTCAAGCGACTATCTTCACCTGAACCCAGCAAATTTTGCTATTCAAATTCGGAAAGGTGGAGAGTACATAGTACTTGGAAAACCTGCACTTGAAGACCTGCAGCAATTTTCTGAAAAATTTCGTTGCAGCTGTTATCCCACTTTGAATTGTAAGGAGAGAGATAATATAAAAGACATTAATGCTATTGATGTGTGTGTTGCTGAAAACATTTGCATAGATGCCATTCCAAACTCAGAACTCAGTGGTCAGCCTTTCAGCTGGAATGAAAAACCTTCTTTCACTTCCCACATTGTCTCATCCTCCACACCATCTGCCATAGTTTTCTTTGTTAATATTTTGTTTTTCACCATGAGCTCTTCTGTAGTGAATTTGTAGTCATACATGTTAGCTAAAATGAACACTATGTCCATTTTAAAGTGTGCTTTTTAGACTAATTAAATGTCTGAAAACAACACATCTCACTGAAAGATCCTTTTTGGAAAGTTCTTTCTATACCTAGTGAATGGTGGTTTCCTTTGAACTTAACAAACATTGCAATTTTTTAGGAATTCTCAACCATGAATTCAATTTATATTCCAATATTCAACAGCTTGCCTATCAGTATTCTCCAGCTCAGAGCTCACAAACTCATATTATCTGTTGCACTTGTAAAACTGCCAGGATTGTTTCAACACAATCATTCTGCACAATATTGACATTTTGATGAAATTACAATTTGACATGGAGTGGTTAAGAACTTGAAAGTGAAAACCTATCAATAAAACTCATCAATGAGATTTAGAGAACCTGGGTATTTCTCTTTTCTCATCTGCTTACAACGGGGGGGGGGGAGGGTGGAAAACAAAAAAAGGGAAGAGTTAAGGGAAAAGAACTAGAATCTAGAATTCCTTGCTTTCTCTGGTTCCACTGAGGACTCTAATTTGCACAGGATTGACAGGAACTTGTGTTGTGTACACAGTTAGCTTTCAACTCCCTGTTAAAGCCAAGAGCAGAGCAGTTGTAGTTGAATGCCTTACTTGGTCTGATCTGTACAAATGTTACTGTCACTTCCTTCTCCCTTTGCTCCAGATTTCCTTTTGGAAATAAGAGATGAAACCACAAACCAGTTTTGGATATGCCAAATTGACAGTTGGTAAGATACTCAGATTATGGTACAATTAAAGTCACTAAAGTATTTTTTTTTTTTTGAGGAGAAGGAAAGAGGAGTTATTATTTGCCAGCAAATGAGGAGGTTGGCAGACTGCTGTCTCAAAGTACCAACATCCTCAAAATCACTAAAATCTTAAACTCTTTGAGGCATTAAATTTCCTGTGAGGAAAAAGGAAAATATTTTATTTGTTATAGACATCATTTCTTTATGCTTTAGCTTTGTTTAATATCTGAATTGAGATGGAGCTGCAAAAAGCAATAAAAATGATTCAAATTATTATTATACATTTTTAAACTCCAATAATTTTTTAAAAATTAAAACACTTGTATAGTCTTTTATGTTAGTTTAAAATCTTTTGTATTATTTTTTCTCTTATTTTTAGTTGCTATGCAATAATTGTACATATTTATGGGGTACAGAGTCATATTTTGATATACATATACAATGTGTAATGATCAAATCAGGGTAATTAGGATATCTGTCACCTCAAACATTTATTTTTTCTTTGTGTTGGAAACATCCAAACTCCTCTTTTCTATCTTTTTGAACATATACAATAAATTATTGATAACTATATTCACTCTACAGTGCTATAGAACACTAGAACTTATTCCTCCCACTCAGCATAATTTTGTATCCATTAACCAACCTCTCCCTACTCCCTATCGCCCATCCTTTCCAACCTCTAGTAACTACATTCTATTCTTTACTTCAAAAAGTTCATTTCTTAAAATTTTTAGCTTCCATGTATGAGAGAGAACATGTGGTATTTGTCTTTCTGTGCCTGGCTCATTTCACTTAAGATAATGTCCTCTAGCTTATCCATGTTGCTGTAAAATGACAGGATTTCATTCTTTTTTATGGCATAATTGTATTCCATTGTGTGTGTGTGTGTGTGAGTGTGTGTGTGTATATATATATATTTCCTTTATCCGTTCATCTTTTGATGGACACTTACGTTGATTCCATCTCTTGGCTATTGTGAATAGTGCTGCAATAATCGTGGGGATATAGATCTCTTTTTGATATATTCATTTCCTTTCCTTTGGATAAATACTCAGTAGTAAGATTTCTGGATCCTATGGTAGTTCTATTTTTTGTTTTCTGAGAAATTTCCATATTGTTTTCCATAATAGCTGTACTAATTCACATTCCCCCAACAGTGTATAAGAGTTCCCTTTTCTCTGCATACTCACCAGATTTTATTATTTTTTTGTCTTTTTGATAATAGCCATTCTAACTGAAGTGAAATGATATCTCATTGTGGTTTTGATTTGCATTTCCCTCATGGCTGGTGATGTTGAACATTTTTTCACATACTTATAAGTCATTTGTATGTCTTCTTTTGAGAAATATCTATTTAGATCTTTTGCCCATTTTTTAATTGAGTTATTTATTTTTTTGCTGTTGAGTTGAGTTCCTTGTATATTCTGGATATTAGTCCTTTTCCAAATGAATAGTTTGCAAATATTTTCTCCTTTCTATAGGTTATCAATTCACTCTGTTGACTGTTTTTCCTTTGCTGCACAGAAGCTTCTTAGTTTGATATTGTCCCATTTTTCTATTTTTGTTTTTGTTGCCTGTGCTTTTATATTTTTACCCATAAAATCTTTGCCTAGACCAATATCCTGAAGGAGTTTCCCTATGTTTTCTTCTGGTACTTTTATAGTTTTAGGCCTTAACGTTTAAATCTTCAATACATTTTGAGTTGTAAAGCTTTTTTATTGTTGTAAAGTCATTGCTGTTCTGGGTAAAATAATAAAAAATGGAAAACTGAAAGTCCCCTTCCATCTTCCCTCTACCAGTGATAGCACTGGGTTACAGTTTCTTCTGTATATTCTAGAAATTTCTTAGGAATATGGAAGCAAATATGTATGTATGTAATACAAATTTCTCTATGGTGTTTATAATTTTCTATAACTTGCTCTTCTCACATGACAATATATTTTGTGTGTCTGTCTACTTCAGTATATCTTTGTATTGACTACATTACACTCCATGGTACCACTAAATAACCATTTTAAAAGAAATTTCTTGTTAATGGACATTTCATTTTTGGAGATTTTTTCTCTATCAAAAATGTTATAGTTAGTATCATGCAAATATATATCTTGGCACACTTTTGCCAGGATAAAATGGAATTGCTGATGTGAAGAGTGTATACATTTCAGTTTAGATGGGCATTACAAAATTATCTTCCAAAAATTTTGTTCCAGTTAATGGTATTACTAATAGTGAATGTGAGAGCTGATTTTCCTCACCAACACTGGGGTCTATCAAATTCTGCAGGCATTATTCATCTATAAGATGAATGTGAAAATGGCATCTCATTTTAACTTGTAATGTTGACATTTTTTTCTATAGTTTGTTATGGATATCTTTTTTCTTGCCGAGCATGTTTTTAAGGGTAAACTTTTTCTCATTATACTCAAATTCTACTTTTTGAGACTGTTTCCATTTCTGAAAATTAAGATATGGATTTTTCAGATACCAATAGAGTATAATATTAAACCGGAAAACCAAAGACCACCTTTAAAAAAAACATTTTATTTTTCTATCCTTGTATATTTCTTACGTGGCATTTGACTGTGATGATATTGTATTTTTAAAGTACATGATTGAAATTACAAATTCATCTATCCACTGAATTTCATTGCTTTTATAAGGTCATAGAGCCTCATAAAGTTTTGGCACATAATTCTTTTGTAAGAAGTATCATTTAAATAAAATTCTAAAGTCCATGCACTGTTAGTTTTTTGTGGGAAGGCTGATCCTTGGCAATAGGATGGAAGGGAAAGAGCAAGCTAATCCCAGTTTAGCAATTTGTAAGCTGTTGACTTTGGCCAAGTTACTTACCCTCTCTAAGTTTGTTTCCTCAATTGTAGAATATAGACGGTCCCAGCCTGAGCAACATAGCAAAACTGCGTCTCTACAAAAATTAGAAAACTTAGCCAAGTATAGTGGCGCATACTTGTAGTTCCAGGTAATTGGAAGGCTGAGGCAGGAGGATCGCTTGAGCCCAGGAGTTTGAGGTTGCAGTGAGCTATGATAATGCCACTGCACTCTAGCCCGGGCAATAGAGTGAGACCATTTATCAAAAAAATAAAATAAAAAAATAAAAAAAATGTAGAAAGTCTACTGTTGAGAATAGTAGAAAAAATAAAAGTCAGCTAGTACAGTGCCTGTTATAAGAGTGGTAGATACCCAGTAAATAGCAATGATTATTTATTTGAAGCCATTATATACTTTTCAAAATTTTCCCTCTATTAAATGATTAAGGTTTACATTTGAAATATAAAATTGGCTTAATATTTTCATTTGAGAAATAGATATTAAAAGATATTTGTAACATGCTTAATTTGAGAACTACAAATTATCTAATTCAAGCACAATGTTCTATTTTACTGATGTACTATATTAGATGTATGTATGAATTATAAAAAATTAGTAAATTCAGGGGGTCATTGTTTTTTTTTCTTTTTTAAAAATTTTTTTCTTTTTCATATCTTTACTGGATACGTCTTTTAGACATGGTTGTTGTCTTATGACTGATGTGCTATATCTGTATTTAGACCCTATAAAAGTTTTAAATATTGTACTAATACAACTTTTTTTACATATTTGGTTTATAATTTCAATACAGAATATGTCTGATAATAAACCTGAAAGTTGCAGTTAGAACATATAATTTTTATTGAAATGTATTTCTTCTACCCCAATTTGCTACCCCTAAATAACGGATATAGGGACAAGGATGGGTTTGGGTCAATAGACAATAATGTAATTTTTAGGGTATAAATCATCGCAAATGATTTTATTTTTCTGTGCTACGTTTTAAATACTGGAGGTAAAAGAAATTTCTGGATTTAATATTTATACTGTGCTTATCATTTTGTAAAAGTGGAAAAAATCATTAAGACTGTAATATGTAGTATACAATGTTTTTGAGAGTTGAGCAGCCAAAAATAAATGTATATTTTGTATCCTGTAGAAAACCTTAGTCCCTGAATGGTGAAAGTCAACTTCAGTAACTAGTAATTTTAGTGATGCTCTGTTCCCACGTGCTGCTGGAAATTAGTCTGGCCGAAATTGTCAATAAAGGTTTAAAACATTGTGCTACTTTATAATTCTTCATATATAAGAGCTTCTATTATACAACAATTACGAGCTTTACATCCAAATTCTCATTTAATTTTCTTTTTTTTTTTTCAGATAAAGTAACTAA